GGTCATCTGTGGGGCTGTCCCTTGCTGCACCCCCCTGGGGACACCTATGGGGCTGCCACTCTCTGCACCCCCCTGGGGACATCCTACACCTTTGGGGACACCTATGGGGCTGCTACTCATTGCACCCCCCTGGGGACATCTGTCACCCCCAGGGACATCAGTGGGGCTGTCCCTTGCTGCACACCCCTGGGGACATCTATGGGGCTACCACTCTCTGCACCCCCCAGGGACATCTCTGCACCCCCCCTGGGGACATCTGTCACCCCTAGGGACATCTATGGGGCTGCCGCTCACTATGGGGACGTCAGTGGGGCTGTCCCTTGCTGCACCCCCCTGGGGACATCTATGGGACTACCACTCTTAGGTCCCCAAAGCCACCAGCATCTTCCCCCCCGGGACAGCGGCCGGTTTTCCTTTCTGGGAAAGTCAGGAACCCCACTGGGGCTGAGTCCTCCAAACTCATGACATGGGGGTCCCCAGGCTTGTGGGACAGGGGCAGCCCTGGGGTTGGGGACATGGGGTCAGGGACATGGGGGTCCCCACTGTCACCCCCAGGGACATCTATGGGGCTGCTACTCCCTGCACCCCCCTGGGGACATCTGTCACCCCCAGGGACATCTATGGGGCTGCCACTCTCTGTACCCCCTTGGGGACATCTGTCACCTCCCTGGGGACACCTATGGGGCTGCCATTCTCTGCACCCCTCTGGGGACATCTAACACCTTTGGGGACATCTATGGGGCTGCCACTCTCTGCACCCCCTTGGGGACATCTGTCACCCCCAGGGACATCTATGGGGCTGCCGCTCACTATGGGGACATCAGTGGGGCTGTCCCTTGCTGCACCCCCCTGGGGACCTCTATGGGGCTACCACTCTCTGCACCCCCCTGGGGACATCTAACACCTTTGGGGACAACTAACCCCCCCAGGGGACATCTAACCCCCTTCCTCCCCACAGCAGAGCGTGGCCCCAGTGGCACGTCCCCCCCGGTCTCCCACGTCGGTCCCCGCGCCGAGAAGCCACAGCACCCTGGACTTTGGTACCTGGCGGCCAGCCCCGGTGCCACCACCGCCATCGGCTGCCTTGCCCCCGTCCCCCTCGTGCCTTATGCCCCCTCCGTGCTGTAAGGATGCTCTGCGACGGGGTGGGGGGGACACCAAGGGGGAGGTCAGCATCTCCTGGGGAGGGGGGTGGTGGTGAATGCTGTGCCCACCCCAGAGACCTGCCACGGAGCCCAGGGACACTGGTGGCAGGAGGCTGGGAATGGGGTGAGGCAGCCCCCAGCTCCTTTTTGGGGGGGTCTGCCTGGGGGTGAGCACCCCCTGAGAATGTAAGAAGTTCCACCTAAACGTGAGGAGGAACTTCTTCACTTTGAGGGTGGCAGTGGCAGAGCCCTGGAAGAGGCTGCCCAGGGAGGTGGTGGAGTCTCCTTCTCTGGAGACATTCAAACCCCACCTGGAGATGTTCATGTGGGACCTGCTCTGGGTGGACCTGCTCTGGCAGGGGGTTGGAGATGATGATCTCCAGAGGTCCCTTCCAACCCCATAGCGTTCTGTGGGTTCTGAGAGTTGGAGATGGATGAAAACCAGGGCAGAGTTGGGGCACAGAGCCCTGTGGGGACACAGTCCACGGAGCAAAGTCCAAGCCAATGTGTCCCTTTCTTCTTCCCAACTACTCACCCTGATGGCAGGGGGCTGGGAGCGGGGTCACGCATATGGGGCTGCCACTCTCTGCACCCCCCTCGGGACATCTGTCACCCCCAGGGACATCTATGGGGCTGCCGCTCACTATGGGGACATCAGTGGGGCTGTCCCTTGCTGCACCCCCCTGGGGACCTCTATGGGGCTACCACTCTCTGCACCCCCCTGGGGACATCTAACACCTTTGGGGACAACTAACCCCCCCAGGGGACATCTAACCCCCTTCCTCCCCACAGCAGAGCGTGGCCCCAGTGGCACGTCCCCCCCGGTCTCCCACGTCGGTCCCCGCGCCGAGAAGCCACAGCACCCTGGACTTTGGTACCTGGCGGCCAGCCCCGGTGCCACCACCGCCATCGGCTGCCTTGCCCCCGTCCCCCTCGTGCCTTATGCCCCCTCCGTGCTGTAAGGATGCTCTGCGACGGGGTGGGGGGGACACCAAGGGGGAGGTCAGCATCTCCTGGGGAGGGGGGTGGTGGTGAACGCTGTGCCCACCACAGGGACCTACCACGGAGCCCAGGGACCCTGGTGGCAGGAGGCTGGGAATGGGGTGAGGCAGCCCCCAGCTCCTTTTTAGGGGGGGTCTGCGTGGGGGTGAGCACCCCCCGATGGGCACAAGCTTGAATGTAAGAAGTTCCACCTAAACGTGAGGAGGAACTTCTTCACTTTGAGGGTGGCAGTGGCAGAGCCCTGGAAGAGGCTGCCCAGGGAGGTGGTGGAGTCTCCTTCTCTGGAGACATTCAAACCCCACCTGGAGATGTTCATGTGGGACCTGCTCTGGGTGGACCTGCTCTGGCAGGGGGTTGGAGATGATGATCTCCAGAGGTCCCTTCCAACCCCATAGCGTTCTGTGGGTTCTGAGAGTTGGAGATGGATGAAAACCAGGGCAGAGTTGGGGCACAGAGCCCTGTGGGGACACAGTCCACAGAGCAAAGCCCAAACCAATGTGTCCCCTTCTTCTTCCCAGCTACTCACCCTGGTGGCAGGGGGCTGGGAGCGGGGTCACGTAGCCTCCAGCTCCTTTTTGGGGGGTGTGTGGGGTGAGGGTTTGCACCCCCTGATGGGTGCTGAGGGTTGGAGATGGATGAGATGGGGGGACATCTATGGGGCTGTCCCTTGCTGCACCCCCCTGGGGACATCTATGGGGCTGCCACTCTCTGCACTCCCTTGGGGACATCTGTCACCCTCCTGAGGGGGAGAGGGGTTGAAAAACAAGGCTGTGGGGACACGGTGCGTGGAGCAAAGCCAAGCCCGTGTCCCCTTCTTCTTCCCAGCTACTGCTCCCCAGCGGTACCTACCTCAGCCCCAGCCGTGCCTGGGGTCCCCCTTCAACACCCCGTGGGGCTCCAGCGGGTAGAGCATCCCCCCCGGCCACACGCCGCTGCCCCCCACCGCTGCCTGACCTTGGAGCTGGAGGAGCTGGAGGACCTCAACCAGTCGCTGAGCCGGGCCGTAGAGGTTGCCCAGAGCATGAGGGTCACCACCACCCGCATGAGCCGGGTGCTGGGCGCCGAGCTGAGCCGGGTGAGGGACCTGCGGGGCTCCTGCCTCTTCTGAGGGTCCTGTCAGCACCCCTAAAACCCTCCCCATCCCTCGTGGGGAGCAGGAGGAAGAGGATGGTCCACCCCATCAGCATCCCTGCACTGGATGCTCCCCGCCGGGTCTGGGGATGGCAGGGTTGGAGGCATCTCCATGGGGTTCTGCGCCAACTCCCACCCAGCTTGTCCTAGACCTCCTGTGTCACTTGTCCATCTGTCCATCCCTTCTCAAGGCCACCCAAGCTGGTGGGGTGAGGGGCAGAGGTCTTCTGAGACCTGCATCCCGGGGTGCCAGCACAGACCCGACAGGAGGCCACCATCCTGGGACCAAGGGGGTGCCCCAGGGCAGATGCCACCCCCAGCTTAGCACTTCTGGGGGTGCCCCAACTTTGTGTAGGTCCTACCCCAACGCAGGTAGACCCCCCTGCCTTGGCAGCTGCATTTACCTCCGTGGGCAGAAATACCCCCAATTCCCTATTCACCCCCTTTTTCCAGCCTTTAGGCATCTCTGGGGGCCCCCCCTCCACCCCTTGCTCTGCCCTTGACCTTGACCCCAGCCGGTCCTCCCTGGGAAAGCTCTTCCCAGCGGGAGGCCACCATCCCCTGGGACCAAGGGGGTGCCCCAGGGCAGATGCCACCCCCAGCTTAGCACTTCTGGGGGTGCCCCAACTTTGTGTAGGTCCTACCCCAACGCAGGTAGACCCCCCTGCCTTGGCAGCTGCATTTACCTCCGTGGGCAGAAATACCCCCAATTCCCTATTCACCCCCTTTTTCCAGCCTTTAGGCATCTCCGGGGGCCCCCCCTCCACCCCCTGCTCTGCCCTTGGACTTGACCCCACCCGGGTCCTCCCTGGGAAAGCTCTTTTTTTTGTGGTTTTACGTGAATTTTTCTTTCTCCAAGGTAGCTAGCGAGCAGCTAAATCACTCTTTAAGGGATGATCGATGATATATAATATGTGTGTGTACGTATATATATATATGTGTATCTATCTAGAGATACATATATATGTTTTGGTTTTAATTTCCAGCATAATCCTTAGGGCATTCGAGGGGTTTTTGGGGTTTTTTTTTTTTTTGGCCAGCTCTGGATGTGGCCACCCACAGTGTTATTCGGGCAGAAAAAAAAACAAAAAAAAGAAGGATTTGGGATTTTCCTTGGGATTCCCAGGGAATTGGGGCTGGTAGAGGACAAATCACTTGGTGAGACTGAGGCAGGGGCAGGGGGGGGGGCACTCTGCAGAGCCCCTCTCCCCCCAGGCTGGTTTTGGGATGAATTAATGTTTATTTTTTAGCGGGATGGATGTGGTTGGGGCAGCCCTTGGAGAGGGCAAGGTGGTGCCTCAGGTGCTCTGCACCCCACAAACCCTGTGGTGGGGGGGGACACCCACATGGGACCTGCACCCTGTGCCCCCCCCAGATGGGTCCAACCAAACCCCCCCTCTCCATCCCTCAGCATCTCAACCTGCCGTGCCCCTGGCCGTGTTTATGTGTAGGACCTACCTAAAGTGCCCGTCTCAAAGTTATTTATTTTTTAATAATTTCTGGGGGATTTTTTTGTACGACACCCCACATTTTTTTGGGGGGGGAAATGGCTAACACCCCCCCCGTGAATAACTCAGGTCTAGAACCTCCCCAATTGGTTGCAAAGCCACTGAGCCCAGATCCTGCAACCAGCCCTGGGGTTGGGGGGGGACAACACACAGGCTGCCCCTGCCCTTTTTGGGGAGAGGGGTGGGTTGGGGGGATGGATTTTAAAGAGGATTTATGTCTTTCTGGTGGCATCTGCCCCTACCTGTGTCCCAAGTGGGACAGGTCGGGGACAACACACAGGCTGCCCCTGCCCTTTTTGGGGAGAGGGGTGGGTTGGGGGGATGGATTTTAAAGAGGATTTATGTCTTTCTGGTGGCATCTGCCCCTACCTGTGTCCCAAGCGGGACAGGTCACGGCTGCGCTGGAAGCTGTGACCCCCCCCAGCCCAGCTGGGGCAGGTGGGGAGAGTATTTAATTACCCCCAAATGCAATTGCAAGGAACAAAGATGATGGTTTTTTTCCCCATCTCTCCTATTTTGTAACGACCAACAGAGCCATTGGGATGCTATTTTGTACTAAGATAATAGCTTATTTTTGAAGGAAATAAATGTGGTTGGTTTTTTGTGGATTTTTTTTCCATTTCTTGGGGGGGTTTGGCCTCAACCACACCAGGATCTCTTATCTTGGAGGCATCCAGGGCTTGGAAAGAAAGTGTCCCTCCCCTCTCCTCAAAGCTTTCCCAACAGCCAGGAGCAAAGATGATGTTTTTTTTTCTCATCTCTCCTGTTTTGTAACGACCAACAGAGCCATTGGGCTGGTATTTTGTACTGAGGTATCTCCTATTTTTGAAGGAAATAAATGTGGTTGGGTTTTGGGGTGATTTTCTTCCATTTCTTGGGGTGGTAGGGGTGTGTGTTGGGTTTGGCCTCAGCCACACCAGGATCTCTTCCCTTGGAAGCATCTGGGTGTTGGAAAGAACATCCTCCTCCCTCCCCAAGGCTTTCCCAACAACCAGGAACAAAGATGATGGGTTTTTTTCCCCATCTCTCCTATTTTGTAACGACCAACAGAGCCATTGGGATGCTATTTTGTACTAAGATAATAGCTTATTTTTGAAGGAAATAAATGTGGTTGGTTTTTTGTGGATTTTTTTTCCATTTCTTGGGGGGGTTTGGCCTCAACCACACCAGGATCTCTTATCTTGGAGGCATCCAGGGCTTGGAAAGAAAGTGTCCCTCCCCTCTCCTCAAAGCTTTCCCAACAGCCAGGAGCAAAGATGATGTTTTTTTTTCTCATCTCTCCTGTTTTGTAACGACCAACAGAGCCATTGGGCTGGTATTTTGTACTGAGGTATCTCCTATTTTTGAAGGAAATAAATGTGGTTGGGTTTTGGGGTGATTTTCTTCCATTTCTTGGGGTGGTAGGGGTGTGTGTTGGGTTTGGCCTCAGCCACACCAGGATCTCTTCCCTTGGAAGCATCTGGGTGTTGGAAAGAACATCCTCCTCCCTCCCCAAGGCTTTCCCAACAACCAGGAACAAAGATGATGGGTTTTTTTCCCCATCTCTCCTATTTTGTAACGACCAACAGAGCCATTGGGATGCTATTTTGTACTAAGATAATAGCTTATTTTTGAAGGAAATAAATGTGGTTGGTTTTTTGTGGATTTTTTTTCCATTTCTTGGGGGGGTTTGGCCTCAACCACACCAGGATCTCTTATCTTGGAGGCATCCAGGGCTTGGAAAGAAAGTGTCCCTCCCCTCTCCTCAAAGCTTTCCCAACAGCCAGGAGCAAAGATGATGTTTTTTTTTCTCATCTCTCCTGTTTTGTAACGACCAACAGAGCCATTGGGCTGGTATTTTGTACTGAGGTATCTCCTATTTTTGAAGGAAATAAATGTGGTTGGGTTTTGGGGTGATTTTCTTCCATTTCTTGGGGTGGTAGGGGTGTGTGTTGGGTTTGGCCTCAGCCACACCAGGATCTCTTCCCTTGGAAGCATCTGGGTGTTGGAAAGAACATCCTCCTCCCTCCCCAAGGCTTTCCCAACAACCAGGAACAAAGATGATGGGTTTTTTTCCCCATCTCTCCTATTTTGTAACGACCAACAGAGCCATTGGGATGCTATTTTGTACTAAGATAATAGCTTATTTTTGAAGGAAATAAATGTGGTTGGTTTTTTGTGGATTTTTTTTCCATTTCTTGGGGGGGTTTGGCCTCAACCACACCAGGATCTCTTATCTTGGAGGCATCCAGGGCTTGGAAAGAAAGTGTCCCTCCCCTCTCCTCAAAGCTTTCCCAACAGCCAGGAGCAAAGATGATGTTTTTTTTTCTCATCTCTCCTGTTTTGTAACGACCAACAGAGCCATTGGGCTGGTATTTTGTACTGAGGTATCTCCTATTTTTGAAGGAAATAAATGTGGTTGGGTTTTGGGGTGATTTTCTTCCATTTCTTGGGGTGGTAGGGGTGTGTGTTGGGTTTGGCCTCAGCCACACCAGGATCTCTTCCCTTGGAAGCATCTGGGTGTTGGAAAGAACATCCTCCTCCCTCCCCAAGGCTTTCCCAACAACCAGGAACAAAGATGATGGGTTTTTTTCCCCATCTCTCCTATTTTGTAACGACCAACAGAGCCATTGGGATGCTATTTTGTACTAAGATAATAGCTTATTTTTGAAGGAAATAAATGTGGTTGGTTTTTTGTGGATTTTTTTTCCATTTCTTGGGGGGGTTTGGCCTCAACCACACCAGGATCTCTTATCTTGGAGGCATCCAGGGCTTGGAAAGAAAGTGTCCCTCCCCTCTCCTCAAAGCTTTCCCAACAGCCAGGAGCAAAGATGATGTTTTTTTTTCTCATCTCTCCTGTTTTGTAACGACCAACAGAGCCATTGGGCTGGTATTTTGTACTGAGGTATCTCCTATTTTTGAAGGAAATAAATGTGGTTGGGTTTTGGGGTGATTTTCTTCCATTTCTTGGGGTGGTAGGGGTGTGTGTTGGGTTTGGCCTCAGCCACACCAGGATCTCTTCCCTTGGAAGCATCTGGGTGTTGGAAAGAACATCCTCCTCCCTCCCCAAGGCTTTCCCAACAACCAGGAACAAAGATGATGGGTTTTTTTCCCCATCTCTCCTATTTTGTAACGACCAACAGAGCCATTGGGATGCTATTTTGTACTAAGATAATAGCTTATTTTTGAAGGAAATAAATGTGGTTGGTTTTTTGTGGATTTTTTTTCCATTTCTTGGGGGGGTTTGGCCTCAACCACACCAGGATCTCTTATCTTGGAGGCATCCAGGGCTTGGAAAGAAAGTGTCCCTCCCCTCTCCTCAAAGCTTTCCCAACAGCCAGGAGCAAAGATGATGTTTTTTTTTCTCATCTCTCCTGTTTTGTAACGACCAACAGAGCCATTGGGCTGGTATTTTGTACTGAGGTATCTCCTATTTTTGAAGGAAATAAATGTGGTTGGGTTTTGGGGTGATTTTCTTCCATTTCTTGGGGTGGTAGGGGTGTGTGTTGGGTTTGGCCTCAGCCACACCAGGATCTCTTCCCTTGGAAGCATCTGGGTGTTGGAAAGAACATCCTCCTCCCTCCCCAAGGCTTTCCCAACAACCAGGAACAAAGATGATGGGTTTTTTTCCCCATCTCTCCTATTTTGTAACGACCAACAGAGCCATTGGGATGCTATTTTGTACTAAGATAATAGCTTATTTTTGAAGGAAATAAATGTGGTTGGTTTTTTGTGGATTTTTTTTCCATTTCTTGGGGGGGTTTGGCCTCAACCACACCAGGATCTCTTATCTTGGAGGCATCCAGGGCTTGGAAAGAAAGTGTCCCTCCCCTCTCCTCAAAGCTTTCCCAACAGCCAGGAGCAAAGATGATGTTTTTTTTTCTCATCTCTCCTGTTTTGTAACGACCAACAGAGCCATTGGGCTGGTATTTTGTACTGAGGTATCTCCTATTTTTGAAGGAAATAAATGTGGTTGGGTTTTGGGGTGATTTTCTTCCATTTCTTG